ATACATTGTATTCCAATTATGTAATCTGATCATTTACAAACTCAAGGTATCTAATCAAAATGTAAGTGATGCCGCCCTTGACAGACAGGGAGATTTATTCCTCAAAGACCATCATCCAGTCGAAGTACTAGTTGCCACGTGGTCAGTGTTCTCACAACCATTGATTTTATCTCACAACTTGTTTTCACCAAAGAATTTCAGTAAGTAAATATTCTTCAATCTCTTTTTCCCCCAGTGTCTGCAGATCAGCATCAGTGTCCACGTGAAGAACCTAGTTATGTTGCCAGTGTCAACCCAACAAAAGGTACTTTACCTTCTTGTATATATTGTGATTCCTTTTTTTATATTTGTTGTTATTTTAGGCAGGGCTTTTGTGCAGTCCTAAGAAACATACTGCCTAGAGTGTTTTTCACTTTGTGGAAGAGTTTCTTTTTTTTTTCTGTTAGTGTGTGGAACTGAGGTGCTTCGTCAGGAGCTCCTTCAGTTGTTGGAGGATGGAGAGAGACGCAGCATGACTTGTGAGACGTTGTCTGAGTCAGCTGCTACTCACTGGCGATCAGAAACATGGTGTCCTTGCTAAAGTGGAAAGAGGCCAGGCCTTGTCTTATAGACAATATGTTAGCTACTCTGGATCCACAGTCACACCGTGTGTGTCAGTGTGGCAAACAAGTAGTTGTGAGGTGTCTGGACTGCCTGCCTCTTCCATTCCTTTGTGCTGACTGTGATATTGCAGTTCACACACGCTTTGTCCTGCACAGCAGAGAGGCAGTAACAGGAGGGTTTTTGCAGCCTTCATCAGAGTTTCACAATCCAATATGTACGGTTTTTAAGTCTTATGCATTTATTGCTATTACTATGAGTGTGTGCTATTGTATTTTATTGTGTATATTTAATTTCCAATTCTTTATATATGTGTGTTTTAATGTAGTTGCCTGTGCAAAGACCAGAGTGTGCCCAGCGTTGAGGTTTCACCCGGTGCAATTGTGGCTCTTGTAACCATAAATGGTAAGTTGCTCTTTTGTCACACAGTACATACACAATAGATGTGTTTGCAGGTTTTATTGCAAATTGTACATTGCTACATTGTTTTGAATTACCCTCAGCCTGCAGTATATGTGGGCACCTGTCAAAGGTCATTTGGATTTACCAGACCGCTTTGAAAACAACATGGGAAAAAATGAATGTCTTTGTTGAGCCATGACTGGATTTCTCCTTATCCTTCCTAAAGGCCGTTATAACCTTGCACTGCCAGTGGTGAGCTGCACCAGCTGTGGCCTAATGTGGTCCCCTCAGTTAAGGACTTCAGGGTGGTGGATATTGGCCTGGCACCTTAAATTTCTGCACCCTGTTTTCAATGGATGTCTTTCAGTCTTTCTATGACATTAAGAAGCTGCAGCAGGGATGTCACTTAAGGCCTTTGTCAAAGTGCTGGATGAACGAACAGCCCATTTTGGAAGGGTGAGTTTCTAAATTTGTCAAGTTTAAGGAAATTGTGCAAATCAATGTTTATGATGACTGTCCGTGAATATTCTGTTGTTGTCCTCTACTTAAAAGACTGGCCGAATATCAGCTGATGCCTTCAGCAAAGTTTCTTGGAGTGGAGTGCTGTAAAGTGTGAGGTGGACAGGATGTGCAAGGAGCCATGCTTTAGCTGCCCTGCCTGCACTCCAGACATGCTCGCCGTCTCAGTTGATGGAAACTGCAAGCTTTATCGCTTTCAATCAAATGCAAGGTACGTTATGCATTGTGTACATAAATCAAATATGGATTTGTACAAAAATTGTATTTTGATGTTTCTTTTCAAACAACTGTCACCGTGTTCGTTCAGCACTTCAGAGCAGGGGAACTTGAAGGTGTCTTCATTGAGAAAGATGAGGAAGTTGCTGAGTTTGTGAAATACATCCAGAGACACACAAATGATGTAAGATACACATATATATCAGTGCTGTCAGCGTTAATCTTGTTAAAATGACGTTAACGCCATAACCATATACTCATACGTGTGTGTGTGTGGATACATATTTGGATGGGTGGATATTTATTTTGTTTTTCTCTTGGTGTTGTCGTAATACTATTTACTTGACTTTATCTTAATGTTACTTCATTTTGAGTAGCTCACACTTGGATGTGCGAGGTATACTGCAGCTTGTAGTCTTGGATACGTTTAAGACATTTTGTTATAAGGTTGAATGAATTCAGCAGTCATGTATTGTGACCTCCTTTCTATAGATCAAATGGGGAAGTGCGTTTCAGGATGGGGCCGGTTCTACAGTTGGAGAAGAGGTGGAGCAAGTAAACAGTTTCTGTCTAGGCGGCCATCACAACGAAGTACATGTCTAAAGCAGGTGTGTGTCTGTGTGTGAGATTCCACTCAGTCTCCTGCTCATTCATTCTTATTTGTATACTAACTGAAATGCAGGGCGAACAGACATGCTGAGCCTCCTGGCTTTGGGCTGGAACAAAAGGAAAGTGGAACAACTGGGCCGCACTTTGAGCCAGAGATATCTAAAGGTCATTTTTCAACACCCATTTTAATGTGTGTGGTAATGGGGAAAACACCAGTACTCTAAAAATGTCCATATGAATGACATTTATTAATGTATTCTTAGATCATAAGGATCCTTAGAGAACAATGGAGAGCCTGAATGCGAGCAGAAATGAGCTGGGTGTGGATGACGACACACTGCAGCAATGGGCTGAAGGTGAGTCTCAATATAATGCACTCGTGTATAACAACAGACCCACCATGGCCTCATTAAAGAACTTAGAGTTAAGATCTTTCTGACAGTGTCAACAAACAATGAAAAATAAGCTTGTAAAAGCAGAATTGATGGCAGAGTTGTTGCGTTTGATCAAATTGGATTGGACCTGGTTGAAGTGATGTCGTACTAGTTGGTTTTATAAAGCTGAACACCAACATACTTGTTATCTCATGATAATGCAGCACATGAAGGCTCCAGATGTCTTATAATGAATATCATCAAGTCAGTGATTACAGAGTCCACTGTAGTTTGGTGACTGTTACTCATCCTGTGTTCTGATTAATATTCCTCTCACTTAGAAACGGATCAAACTGATGGCAGCCTTGGAGCGTTGCAGGCACGAGTAGAGGAGCTTGTCGTCATCATCAGAGTGCGAACACAAAGTCTTTACAGACAAAATGGTGTCACAGTTTCTTTGAAACGGACCGTTTGATGCTCACTTTGTACAGCTTGTGCAGCTACTTTGTAAACAGAATAAAATCAGATCCAGGTTTGTTTAAGCTGGATGTGATTTGTTCTAGCAAACGAATTGATGAGTGTAGATTAAAATTAAATATATGCATTATGTGAAGGTGTTCCTTTTTATGATTATTTACAGATAGCAACAAGAGGCGACACAGAATTCACAAGGTCATCTTAGATGAGAAGAAACGCTTGGCGGCTGCTGTTGACGACTACAACAAGGAAACAAGCAACAAAGCAAATCGTATCCAGTGATGCCCTCATGCAGAGCGACGTTTGGCCCTGGCAGAGCACAAGTGAACGTAAGCTCTTGATTTCTAAATATCCTTTTTAAACAAACTCCCAGTATCTGAGCAGCAGTTGAATGTTTTGTTCTTGAATCATAATATGCTGCTATGTTTTCCCATCTGATGTTGTTAAACTGCAGCTGCTGCTGACCTCCGGACAAAGAGAAAGGTCTTTGAGAAGGTGATGGCTGTGAGGCGCCTGAGAGAGGAGGAGATGATCCTTTGCAGGGAGATGCAGCATCACTGGACAGTGTTGCAAATGCGATCTGTGGTGTTGGGGACAATCTCCTCAGACTGTAAGCACATCTTTTATTTATTTATACATTTGGTGATGAATTGATTGAAAATAATAGCAGATGCTAAAGTCTTACTGGATCTTTTACCTATATTTGGGTTGCTAGCTAACACTGCCTTCTCCCTTAAAAAAAGTTTAATTACATGATCCTAACTCCTTGTGTTTATGAGGTGAGTTTTTTTGTTTGTTTGTTTGTTTTACTTATATTTAATAGTTTTGTTGTTTTTACAGCCTCCCTTGTTGGCATGTCGGAGGATGCACAGAAAGGACTCCATAGTCTGGTTTAAAAACAAAGTGAACTGAAAGCTGAAACGCTCAAAGTAAAGGACGTGTACAAGAGAATCCTCAGCCACCAACCACTCCTGGAAATGGACTCAGAGGAGGAGGAGGACGTTTCAGACGATGAGAGTGATTTGAGCACTTCTGATGAAGACTGATTGTGTCATCATTGATGTTATGTTTGCTAGAATAAAAAGTTAATCACATCTGTTTAATGTGATTTTTATAATGTCTGTTTCAGAAATTGCTTATCAACAGACATTTTACATGTTGAGAAGAAAAATGTAATTCCCTTGGTGCAGTTGTTTACCCTGAATCATTCTTTCCCATCTAATTTAATGACTCGTGTACATGTTCAGATACAATAACATAATTGAATTCATGGGATGCTTTCTGGGCTGCTCAAATTACCACAAAATGTAAAAGCACCAGGCAGCACACTCACAAGGACATGTTTTGTTCAGTGTTTTGTTGAAGAAATCAACAAGTACAACTGAGATGTTTGCTGTAGTGGTGTGTTTGTTAAGAAGCATGCCAGCACACTGGTGAACTGACAGTCCCAGAATGCACCCGAGCCAGTGACTCGCCCCAGAACAAATGACATTAATTATCTAGAAAGAAAACCGTGATCAAAGACTAAGTAAAAGAGTAGGAAACAAAAGATAAGGAAAGGTACTGTGGGGTAGGAAAGAAAGGCCAGAGCTGTGCAAAATGACCTCCAGCAGGCCACAAATATGCACGTCTGTTCAAACGGTCAGATACTGACTCCATGAGGGTGGTATGAGGGCTCGACGTCCACAGGTGGGGGTTGTGCTTACAGCCCAACACCGTGCAGGATGTTTGGCATTTGCCAGAGAACACCAAGCTTGGCAACTTTGCCACTGGCGCCCTGTGCTCTTCACAGATGAAAGCAAGTTCACACTAAGTACTTGTGACAGAGTCTGGAGACATATTGGAGAACCTTCTGCTGCCTGAAACATCCACCAGCATGATGGTTGGGCAGTGGGTCACTAATGGTGTGGGTGGCATTTCTTTGTGGGACCGCACAGCCCCCGTGTGCTCGGCAGAGGTAGCCTGACTGCCATTAGGTGCTGAAATTAGATCCTCAGACCCCTTGTGAGACTAAATGCTGGTGCGGGTGGCCCCGGGTTCCTCCTAATGCAAGACAGCGCTAGACCTCATGTGGCTGGAGTGTGTCAGCAGTTCCTGCAAGACGAAGGCATTGATGCTGTGGACTGGCCCGCCCATTCCCCAGATCTGAATCCATTTGAGGACATCTGGGACATCACGTCTCACTCCATCCACCAACTGCACCACAGACTGTCCAGGAGTTGGCAGATGCTTTAGTCCTGGAGTCTGGGAGGAGATCCATCAGGAGACCATCTGCCACTTCATCAGGAGCATGCCCAGGTGTTGTAGTGAGGTCATACAGGCATGTGGAGGCCACACAGACTACAGAGCCTCATTTTGACGTGTTTGAAGGACATTACATCAAACCAGATGAATGATTCTGTATTGCACTGATCAAGGAACCAACCCAATAGGAGCTAAAGGCATCCTCTTCACATTACTTAACATAGTGAGTTTATACTATGTTTAATGTGCATTTTCTTCATCAGTCTAGAACATAACATGTTAGCGCTCCCTGGTTCTTTTTGGAGACAGATCCTGAGACAGCAGGCAGCTTTGGAGAACTCATGCCAGCTGTGGTCATTAAGGAAAACTTTGATTTAATATTGATTTCATGACAACTATCCTCAGGCACATATTCCTGGATATATACAATGACACGAGTAGACACTAACCCCAGCAGTCTGGTGCTATGACAGCATAACTAAGGGCTGACCTGAACCAGCCCCAACTATAAGCTCTATAAAGAAGTGAAGTCTTATGCCAACTCTTAAAAGTCTTGACCATGTCCACCTCCAAAACTCATAATGGACTTTGGAGGTGGACAGCTATCAAGCTCCTCACAGAGGAGCAGCTTGACAGCTAACAGCTCCCAATTTAGTTTAGTCCAAATACATGAATTCAAATTGAGGTGATAACTATTTATCAACAGTATGAATGTCTGTTCCCGTCCAACAAAGTTGTTACTACATACCATGTTGAGCAGGGCTTCCACTTGACTTTAACTTCTTCTTTTCCTGAAAAACATGATATAAACAAACAATTAATTCAGAAAGACATGCAGGTTGCATACAAAAAGGAGCCTACAAACATTTGTGTACTGTTGAATGGCTCAATATATTATACAGTTAGTTTACAAAAATATAAGAACCACTACAATGCTTGTACTGCCAGCATCGAGTGCATGTCAGCAAAGCAACACTGCTTACATTGTGGCTCACAAGCTCCACTCCTTTTCATCAAAACCAAAATTTTATCTACATTCTGTTTTTTACACTTTAAATCCCAGTTAGGTTAAATATTACCAGTAGCTTTTCAGATAAAACAGTAATAAAGTCCTAATGGTTTCATAAATCTTCATATTTTTTTTCATATAAGCATCGGGGACAAGGCTGTCTTGCAACTGTTGAGGTCACTAGTGTGCGCCCTATTTCTTCCAGGATCACTCTTCATTTGTAGGTTTTAGTGGACTCCTACTACTGTGAAGTGGTTTTCATGGGACAGGGGCTTGTATTCCAAGATCTGGGAGATTGTAGAAATGAGCTGTGATGCCCTTCTTGCCATCTTTCCAGAAATATCAGTGATCTGGAAGCTGTTAGGCTGACTTACAGCAGCAGCACTTTCTGCACCTGCAGAAACTCCAGGACACATTTACTAACAGTGTTTGTTGCTGTGTGTGCTGCAGCTGCAGCTTTGAATTTCTTTTGAGAGCTAATATTTTGGCTTTGGTGTCTTGTTATGAAATGTACAAGAGTAAGAGTGTTAGCATGTGTGTCAAAGCTACGTTTGACTGGGAAACTCAAAGCTCAATAACCTGTATCAACAACAATTCACTGCAGCCTGTGTAATATTTGATGCATCATAATTTATTCCAGTCTATCTTGCAAATACATGTTTGCGTTGCAATGTCATGCACAACACACACAACTATTAGAGCCTTAAGATCAAACCTGCGTCATTCTTTTGGTCCACTGCAGTGTAGCAGTCAAACAAGGAGAAGTGAAGTGGCCCCAAATGGCCAGGATAGAGATCAGAGGGTTAATGCGTAAAATGCATAAAAATATTATTGATTACAGGATAATACATTCATGTTAATATCAACAATAAGCTTTTTACTCTGAAGTTACAAGTATAAACAATGCTGTTGCATTTACACTTACATTTTTTACTATAAGTATGGAAACAAGTGAACAGCATTTTATAATAAGTTTAACTGGAATTCTGTACACTGAAAAACAAACAACAGATAAAAAACACAAACAAACAGCCAGTGCCTTCATCTGTCCATTAAATGTCAAACATCGCTTTGACCTGTAGTCTCTGCTCGTCAGCACGTGCTTTTAAAAAGAGCTCCATGTCCTCTGCAAACTGAAAAACAAAGAGGAAGAAGTCCCTCTACACAAAAACACTGTGGATGACAGGCCAGGCAAACATCTATTGACCTGTTTGAATGCCTCCTCATCATGTGAGCCTTGAAGTTTTTTTGTAAGAAGACTAAGACCACAGTGAGGACGTTTCATTTTCATGGACTTTCCACAAGCCCCAGTTTCATTTAGCACAGAGGGTGGAGCACATGAATGTTCTACCCAAGATTCAGGAAATGGTTTAGATGCTGGAGACGAGACATGGAGAGGGAGACGAGGCTCCACGGAGAGTTCAGTGGGGAGCAGTCCTGAATGCTGACATGACAATAATTGCCTTGCCATATCCCCACGCTGTATGACTGTCATGTTACAGAAGGGCAGTGAAAGTGCACCGGCACATCATTTTGTCTGTAAGAGAGAAAAAAAGAAAAAACATGTAATTTAAATGTAGTTGTATAGAATGCAGTCAGTTTATCTAACAATCAGATTGTACATATTAACAAAAATATCCAAGCCGTCCTCAATAATGAAAGCAAAATGGTGTGGATCACAAGAGCTGTCAGGAAATGTGGTGAACAGGAAAAATATTTAATGAAAACACTTTTTTCTCTCGCTGATGAATGAACTGAACTGTACAATGTGAAAAATAACTTTTAAGTCAACAAAGACCTGCAGAGGTGCTGAAAAGAAGTGCATATTTATGACTTTAACTATGAGGTATATTTAATACCAACATACCTTTGAAAGGCAAAGCACTTTGAATGTGTCCATTTATATGCTGCCCAATCTTTGCCCTGACAGCAGGGCTGAGAGTGGGGCACAGAGGGCAGTGAAACAGCCAACACGTGGTGCATTCCTGCAATTCTGGCCTGGAGGCAGAACTCCAATTTGATATTTGCATCTAAAACAGAGAGAAAAACAGATAAACACCATATACACATTTAAGTTCAGGTTTTAGCAGAAATAACACGTTACAGTTAGCATGTAAGAGATTTGGGAGAAAATTCTTTACAAAAACATAATTTACAAGAAACTTTTATTTGTGACATACGTATCTATTGACATATAAAAGACAACTGAACAAAGGCTAACTAACATCTTGGCAATAAAACAGAATAAATAGAGAATATTAGTATTTATACATACATAAAACTCTCTGTGACGACCTTTACAATGTTTTTGCAGGTGGAATGAGAGATATGAATAAAGTGCAATATGCAGTAAATGGAACAATGTGCATTGATGTTACAGATCGTGAAAAGTAGTGAAGTGAATTTGTTCATAACAAGCAAAAATCAAATACGTTTGAAACTGACCACTAAATGCTAACCAGAGGTGTCAAAAGTGCACATTCTTACTAAAGTTTAGATGCCTCGGGGGTCTGACCGTTGTTGTAGCGCTAACAAAGTGCCAATGTAATCAGTGTAAGCAAACTAGATGATTCCTACAATTATATAATTATTAACGGCAAATTTAGACATGAAAGACTCTGTAACAACCTTTA